GGATACGGCTGGCCCATGGTAAGTTCTTAATATGTGTGTGCCCTTAACCTTCCTATTTCTGTTGAACTGAATTTTTCAACCTTATCATTTCTCCCAATAGGTGAGATTTCTGTCCTCTGGGCTACAAAGAACTCCTCATCCAAATATGGGAAAGTAGGAATCTTGTCAGCTTGGAGATTTTCCTCAGCTATTCCTCTTAGAACTCACCTATCCCAACCCCCCAGTGTTTGGTCATGCTGAACTGACGGAAGGAGTCTGCACTAACTAGAGCTTGGCTCAGTGACTCAGCCGACAACTCAATCTGCCTGTCAGGAAAATCTAAGAGCAAAACCTTGTCTTTATCATCAGATGTCCTAGAGCATCAAGGTAAAGAAGTACAAGACTAGGATTATGGGTTGTTCTTTTTGCTTTTATTCAAATAAATACAATACTTATATATAGCCTGATTAATTTCCCTTGTCATATCTCTTTTTTCAGGTTTCAGGCTTAGAATTTTAGTCGTGCAATGCTAAGGTCACATCATAACTGTTCTCTAAGTTGAAACAAGTATTTCAACAGGCAAATAGCAAACTCGCCAAAAGACCTGTGGGTCACTTGCCCAAATGAGGCCAACTGAGATGAGAACAAACATCTTTTTTTTTTTTTGTAAAAACTGTATTTTTATAGTGTACCTTTGGATAAAATGCATTGTTTCTTCCCCTTCTTTCCCAGGCCAGGCACTTGACAGCACAGTGCTCTCTTAATGCTGTCATAAAGAGGACGGGCAACCCACTTAATTAACATCCATTGGACTTGATTTCCCAAGAAAATTAAAACAGTGTGAAAGAACACTGCATTTAGCATTTGGCATTAGAGTTAGTGAGACTGATAATGACTGAAATATTTTTGATGTGCTAGAGGTTAATTCAGAAATGTAGGACTGGAGAAATTTCATTTGTTCTAAATGAGTCTTGCTTCCCCTGAATTCTGTCTTTAGGTAGTAACTTCTTTAGTTTGAAATTAGTCTGATTAATATCACCTTTACTGGGAAAAACTATTATCCTCTCTGTGACTTGGCCTCTGGTATCTCCACATATTAATTTAAATAAAAGTATGGCTTCAATTGCTAATTGATGGTTCAGCTTACAAGGAACTAGTCTAGGCACCCACCCTTCTTACATGAAGCCAGTTAGGGCTAATGCAACCTGTATGGTCAACTTCAGTTTAAAAATCTTAACTCTCATTGTAAGAAAGCAGCCAAGTATCGAACCTTGAGGCAAGTGGGTTTATGGAGTGGCAGATGTGGGAGTGTGGGGCCAGGGCCACACTGCTCATGCTAATACACCATCAGCACAAACAGTGGCCCAGTCTTGACTTCCTCCAGCTCCAAGAGTCACCTCTGCAGAGTGGCCGTGGCACCTCACGGAGTAGGGCTGGCACAGAGCCCCTGCCCTGCACGAATGTCCCTGTGGAGTCCCTGGGAGGACAGAGGCAAGCCCTGCTTCTTAGCAACTTCCCACACTTCCTGCCTCTGATCCCACTTCCTCTCTGTAAAGATGCTATTTGGCTTAGCAGCAACCCAAGGGAGTGGGAATAAGGCTTGGTGTGTTGAGAACTGCTCCTGCCTCCTTTTGACAGCCAAGGCTGGCAAGGTTGTTTGGAAATCTGACAAAGAGCAAGTCTACTTTCTACAAGTAAAAAATCCCAACCACTTCACGGTCACTCCATTAAAGTAAAACTAAATCTCTCTGAAAAATAATATGCTTTGAAACCCTCTGTTACATTTATAAAAACAAAAGGAAAAACAAAAAATTTCAAAGTTAAAAAAGACCCTTTAAAAATATTACAGCAATAGCCTTCTTCGTAACAAATATAAAACAGCTTAAGACACTTGGTGACTTTCTTAGTTCATTTGTGGGGGAATGGACACACAATGAGGTTTTACTACTGAAGTTAGCTATTTGGTAAAAACTCTAGGAAGAGTTCCATCAAGAAAATGGTTATTTTGGAAAGACAAGTTATGATTATTTCCAAAACATCAAAAGGAATAAGAATGTAAACACTATATACTTAAAATGTTAATGCAATAATATTAACTCAGTCAAATAAAGAAAGTGGCACCAAATTTATGGCAATTTTTCAAAACAAAAATG